CATTTAGTGAATATTTTTTCTAAATTAGACTGCTATATTTCTAAATCTAAATTTTAGTAACTCCTAAAGAAACTCATATACATATCATACATATGTAATTTTTAGAGATTGAAGTTTCACTTGAGGACAAGTAACCATTTAAGTTTGGGGGATTTTGATACACCTAAAATATTTAGTGTTTTTAGACTCATTTTTATACTTATTTTTGAGATATTGCGCTTTAATGAGATGTATTTTTGTGCTTTTCTTGCAGATACAGGTAAAAAGGGTGAAAAATGCTTAAAGGAGTGAAAAATGATCAAATTTGGAGCACAAATGTGAAAAATGTGCAAATGAGTTTTGGCGCATAAGCGCCAGATCCGACGCTTAAGCGGTCAATGGGAAAGTCCTATGGCTAGACCTAGGCTATTAAAGAAATTTCTAGACCTCAACCAAAAGTGAGGTCAACACCCATGCTTAAGCATCAATGGCAGTTACTAGACAAGTAAAGTCATTTTTGCAAATTTTTACGAGGTTTTTGAGGCACCCAATGGATTAATAGGTGGTTATAACCACCATGGATGAAAATTATCACGAAAGAGTGCATCTCTTGAGGAAAATACATCGAATCAAGACACATTTTGAAGAGATCCCAAGGCACCTCTTGGAAAACTATAAAAGAAAGAAGAGAGGATTTTGAAAGGAGTCCTAAAAATACTTGGAAAGTTTTGAAAGTTCATCAATTTGGGGAGTTAGTTCGGAGAGATTTTCATGCACCACTTTTACTTTTATTTTATCCTTTTTGTGATTTTATTTTTAGTGATTGTAAAAAGAAGAGATTCAAAGGAACTTCAAGAATTTGACGGAGAACTACACTACTGGATTCAAGAATCCCTAATTGATATAAGTTTTTATCTTTTTGTTTTGAGATTATTTTTGGTTTTAGTTGAGACTTGTTGGTTTGACAATAATTTCTTCTTTTAAACTAGTGTGATTTTATTTTCTCCATAGATTCTAAGTAGATTTCTATATCTTTCTTCTTAAAATGATAAGTAATTAAGTATTGGATGGAAATTGTAGAGAGTATTGATCTTTAATGTTGGAAGAAGTTGTGATGATTTAAATCCATTCACCTCAACTTTTTGATTTGACCAATCCATATGTTAAAATTTGTTGTAAGAACATGTGAGAACCTGGATGGTATTTTCTCAGTCAACAATTGGAAAGAATTACATGAGATTGTATGAATGAGAATATAATTCATATGATTTAGTGAAAATAAATAAGGAAATAATCTTTGAACTGTGTAGGGTTAGAAGACTTTAAAGTGATAGGTTAAAGCTCCCAACTTGGTTTATTATTTTAGAGAGAAGATGTTAGCCCCCAGGTGGAGGGAATCGAGGGGACTCTAGAGTGAGAGCTAGTATATTCCCCGCCTAGCCGGTCTTCAGAACTATTCTAACTTTAAATTAGCCAATGTTATTTATAGCAACTCCAGTAAGGGTAAAGAATATTATTTCTCCTATTTGGCACAACACAATTTGCATACTTTCACAATAGCATTTTTATACTTATTACTGATTCATGATAAGAAGAAAGATATTTTTCTTATTTGGGACCGACCTCGAAAGAGGGAATCAAAAGTTAAGAACTGATTCCATTGTGAAAATTGAAAGTTAAGGATCAATCTCAAAAGAGAGTTGGAAGTTAAGGACCCACCTCAAAAGGAGTGAATCAAAAGTTGGGGACTGATTCTAAAAATGAATTAATGAACAATCTCAAAAGAGAGTCAGAAGTTGAGGACCGATCTCAAAAAGAAGTGAATCAGAAGTTAAAGGCTGATTCTAAAATGAGAATTGAAAGTTGATGATCAATCTCAAGAAGAGTGTCGGAATTTAAGGACCGACTTCGAACGAGTGAATCAAGTGTTAAGGACTGATTCTAAAATGAGAATTGAAATTTGATGATCAATCTCAGGAAGAGAGTCAGAAGTTAAGGACCGACCTCGAACGAGTGAATAAGATTTAGGAACTGATTCAAAAATGAGAATTGAAAGTTGATGATCAATCTTAGGAAGAGAGTCAGAAGCTAAGGACTAACCTCGAACGAGTAAATCAGGAGTTAGGAACAGATTCAAAAATGAGAATTGAAAGTTAATGATCAATCTCAAAAGAGAGTCGGAAGTTAAGGACTTACCTTGAAAAGAAGTGAATAAGAAGTTGAAGACTGATTTGAAAATGAGATTTGAAAGTTAAAGACCAATCTCAAAAGAGAGTCTAAAGTTAAGGACCGGCCTTGAAAAGAAGTGAATCAGAAGTTAATGACTGATTTGAAAATGAGAATTGAAAGTTAACGATCAATTTTAAAAGGGAGTCAGAAGTTCAGGACCAATCTCGAAAATAAATGATTAGAAGTTAAGGATTGATTCTAAGATGAGAATTCAAAGTTGATGATCAATCTTAGGAATAGAGTCAGAAGTTAAGGATGACCTCAAATGAGTGAATTAGGAGTTAGGAACTGATTCAAAAATGAGAATTGAAAGTT